GAATCGCAACTCGGGGCTCAGCGCAATATCTTTGCAATCTCTTGAGCCACAGCTGCGGTCAATAACTGAGTGGTTCGGGCTTGTGAGCCTTAGTTACTGTCGCAGGCGTTGAGACAAGCAGTGTTTGCTACTGTGGTCAAGAGGATATACCCCACAACCCAAGCCCACCCAGGACGCCCGGTTGAGCAGTGGAGTCGCACTGGAGTGCCAGTGTTTGGTGTCGGCTTGGCCAGTTTTAGTTATAATCAATGCACCCCATCTCATGTTTTCTCACGTACTCGTGTTCTCTAAGAGTTAGACTCTAACAACAACAGCAGAGTGAGTAGGACCAGGACGATGCGTGACGTGCAGGAAGTAGGAACTTTCACATGAAGCGTTTGATAGAGAATCCTCCGAAGCTACTTGTGCGGAATTGAAATGAAGAGAGCGCCTGCTTACGATGAAGCGGCGGTGCCGTCATGTGCTTCCCTGTTAGAGTACACAAAAACGGCAGTAAGCTTTTGTGATGCAGGGATGCTTCATGTTAACCTATTCTCCTTTCTTCTTCGATTCAGTCATGCTCATTTACCTGTCGCCTATCACCCACACTGTTCTGAAAAGAGTTGCAAGCCATGCGCGCACCTCTGTTTGAAAGTACGTGGCATTCGTCACGTTCAACCTGGCCATTCAGGGGGCACGAACAGCCTAACCTCAACGAGTACTTACTTGCTGAAGCCAGGGTCACTGGGCGAAGGCTGCCTGCAGCAAGACTCGTTTTTCACATCAGTAACACTGATAATGATAACCATAGCAACAACAACAAAACGTAGTAACAACAATTACAATAGTAACTATAATGGTGGTAGTGTTGTAAGTAATGTTGACCGTACTATCGAATATCGAATATACATATATATATATATGTACACACATGATAACAACACTCGGCCAGGTCGGCTTCTCCAGGGCCTCGCGCATCTCCTGTAGCGTCGCAAGTGTCTGATCAACACAGGAACGCGGCAACGACTCCCCCTGCCTTCACGATTGAAACGCAAATCCAGTAGTGAAGTAAACATTCACGACATTTCAAGCCATTCGGGCAGGCGGCAACACGTGCTAAGCTTGTGCCGACACCGGGTGTTGAGACTGCAGAAGGCTCAAGGCCCCTGCGGCTCCTCGGCCTTGTCCTTCAACTCCGGCACATGGATGAGGCCCACTCGGACCTGGCTGAGGCGGAGGGGTATCTGCTCAGATGAATGGAGATAGTGAGCCGGAACGTGGCAGTAGCGTCTCGCGCATTGAAGCCTACGGACTCTCTGGGGACAGCACAGGCAGACACAACTCCGACACATGCCGCCAGCGCCGAGAACGACACGCGCTATGAGAATGATAGCAAGGGCAAGAGTATCAAAGAGCGACAAAGTGGCGCTGCTGAACCGTCACAGACTGCCAAAGAGGCTCGAAACTGCCATATGATGCAGTGGCACTAAGGGCTGCTCGAACCACAGGTTCCACTCAGAAAAGTGCTAAGACAAAGTCACAATCCCTATGTACGTCTCTCTGCAGCTTGCATAAGGTGCAAGCCTTAGACCATCTGAACCCGACACCCTGCTAGGGTTCCCACGCCCTCCGCAGCATCGGGGCCCTCAGCGCGGAGAACGAAGTGCGGCCGCGGCGAACTTCTGGCATCGGGATGTCATAGTCAAAGCTTTCATCGTAACAAGATTGAACTAGAGACCCGTTGGTATAGTTTAGTTTGTGGGTAGAAGAGAAGACACTATCATTGTCATAAATAGTAGTAGTAGTAGTAGTAGTAGTAGTAGTAGTCGTCGTCGTCGTCGTCGACGTCGACATAGACGTAGGCCGGAACAAAAGCAGTGCCAACGCTTCAGGGCTCAAGGCGTATAGTCTTCAGTTGAACAGCCGTCGGATGGACCTGCAAAAGCGGAAGCTCTCACAATCCCTCACGGCGCCAATGCTACGGGCACTGAAAGAGCGGTTCGCCCACACTCTGCACATAATATACCCTACCCCCCCAGGTGCCTACTATATAGGGTACTAGAGCCCCTAAACACCTATATAGTAGGTACCTGGGGGTTAGGGATACCTGGGTCACTACACCATCCTGTTCGGAACCCTCAAACCCAAGAAGCTCCTCTGCAGTGTATGCCCGGCCATGGCGCTGCTTCCTGCGCTGCCTGGGCAGACTCACGCAGGCACGGGCGTGGCGTTGGGTGCATGTGGTTTTGAGTTCCGTCGTTGAAGAAGTGAATCCAAAAATTCCTGAAGCTGTTGAGGGCCTGGGTCCTGTCCCGACCTCCTGTCCGCACCTGCGAGCCCCTGGAAGAGCCTTAAATCAAGGATGTTGAGCCAAGCTGCTTCTCGGCAGCAGGAAGGTCCTGAAACGGCAAACATCGAGGCACATTGGGAGACCCGTGCGCCGCCTGTGCGCCACAGCTTCAGTGTGCAGGTCGGATTGTCGGATCCCGTATGCAGCTTCAACTCAACTCAGGGTTCTTACCACAAGCCTGCTCAGCTCAGGTGTCAACGCTTAATCGGCTAGCGAACCTCTGGCACTGTATGGTTGGGACGTGGCGACGGGCGGATTATAAACTACATGCGCCCGGCCCATCCGTCCTGGCCAGCGCGTCCGTGAGCCAACCTGGTCGAAACTCGAGGGCACCGCATAATTAATACATAGAGCGTGCGTCGGCGCGAGGGCGCGCTTTCTGAATATATATATATATATACAGAAATATATGCGTAACATATATATATATATATACATATACACAAGAAAGCAGTACTATATATAGTACAGAACACATACCCTGTAGTACAAAGCACAGTATGTATATCATATAACATATAACATATAACATATGACGTATAACATACAACATATAACATATAACATATAATATGAAATACACAAGCATATGCATATGCAATATGCAACATGTAATATATAGCATATAGTATATAGCATATA